CTGGCCCCTCCCCCGCGCCCGGGAGCCGGGCCGGACCCCGCATTACACTGCGGATGTGTGTGTGCGTAGAGCGTGTGCGTGTGTATACCTGTGCGTGCACGCAGTGTGCGCGCACGCGCGCGCGGATGTACACGCACGTGTGGGTGGACGTATAAGTGCATGGTGTGTGTGTGGATGCATACGCACGCATCTGGGTGTATACGTGCGTGGTGTGTGTGGGTGTATACGTGCACTGTACGCACGTGGGTGGGGGGTGCGTGGGCGGGCGGGTTTGTGTACGTGTGCAGGTGTAGGCATATGCAGGTGTGTGCACGCCTGCGCACAGGTGTATGGATGCATGCCCGTATGTGTGTGGGTGGATGTGTGTGTGGATGTACACATGTATATAGCTACTCCTCACTTAATGTTGTAGTTACTTTCTTGAAAAATGCGACTTTACATGAAACGACGTTAAGCGAATCCAGTTGCGTCGCAGGAGTTGCGTACCAGCCGGCGGCGGGCCAACAGCGTTATAACCGAACGTTGCGCGACTTTAAATGCGTGTGCTCTCTAATAGATCAGTGACGTAATAACGAAACAACGTTAACGGGATGACGTTAGGGGAGGAGAATGTGTACACTCACACTATATATGTGTGTGTGTGTGTGTGTGTGTACACACATGTGCATAGCTAGGTATTACGTACATGCATGCGGGGGGTACAGCCCTCTGCAGGAGGGACGGCCTCTCGGAAGGGATTTCTGTTTGCCGTTTATTGCTGGCTCCTGTGGCCTCATTTTTGTTACAAGGTCACCTCATGCCCGTGACTGGCCAGGAATTGGGTTTCAGTTTCAGGAGACGTAAAAGACTTGTTGTTGTTGTTGTTGTTATGAAAATGGATTAACTCAGCGAATGCACCATCCCCGTGCTACTCGTGTCAGGGTATTCTAGATATCTTCAGGTATCGATGCCCCGTGCGCTTCCGTATTATCAAGTTGTCCAGGAGACTGGCGGCAGGGTAATGAGAGGTAGTTAGTCCTGGGAGTCTGAAGGAGGCTGGTGCACCTTGTAGACGAGCAGAATCAGGGATGCATCCTTTTTATGAGCAGCCGCTCGCTTCGACCGAGGCTGTGGAAGGACATGCGGTACCGTAACAGGTGGAGAGTTTGGCAGGCAGGGACACATGGACGGCAGTTTGAACAGGCAAGAACGGCTTCGGTATGAGGAGGGGCTGAAAAGACTCCAACACCTTAGCTAGGA